TGCCCCGCCCATGGGAGCCTGGTGGGGGTGGGCGAGGGCTGCCGGACCGGTTCTTGCTCCTGGGTGAGAGGAGCCACATCCGTATTTCTTCCCCGAGCCCTGCCGGGGTTGCTCTGCTCCCTCATCTCCAGCCATGCCTCCCTGTCCCTTTGTCCCCTCTGCCAGGGCTGCAGTGGTACCTGGATCGTGCTCTTCCCACCCATCCACTGACTCTGGCACGCTGCAGCCCAAGAGCGTTTGTGTCTGCAGAAGCTGACTCCAATTGTAACGACGTGGGGGATGACGAGAGGTGCAGGAAAATGGGGAGGCTTATTGCTCGTGGCTGGGACAGGTCAACGTGATCCAGGCTCGCCATCTTTTTGAACAAACTCTAGTCAGTCTGGTGGACCGGAGGACCTGGCAGGGGGAGGAGATCCAGAATGTGGGACCGGGCAATCACCAGCCCTGGACTGAAACCTGCCCCTTTCTTTACCCTCTCTGCTACTAAGCGTGATGCAGAGTCACTGCGTGATGTCCATACATAAACCCCTACTTTTATACCCCAGGGGCAGAGGCAGCACCCTGGCGGGGCTGGGGAAATGTGAGGGGCTGTTTAGCAGGCATGGGCAATGGGTCCTACACTCCAGAGATGGGAGGCTGGGAGTGACTGAACATGCTGCGTATTACAGTAGTTGCCAGCAGTTATCAGCTGTAGCTGGGAGAGGAGGCTGAGTGCTGCAGGCAGGACAGATACGTGTCTTTCTTCATCCTCCCCCAGCAAGCAGCCATAACATGCAGACTGCCGTTAAAATGTCTGTTCTGTGACACTGAAAAAAACCAATGCCCAACGTAAAAGGGAGGTTTATTGATGGAAAGGTATACATGATTATGATACAGATCTGGAGAGACGTGCTGTGAAAGGAAACAGAGAATCAGACACTAGCTCGAATGACGTCACAGACTCCCACTGTGATTAGTAAGGTGAAATGGCCTTTTCCAGGACTTAATGACAGAAGAAAATAGGGTGATTGAACACTTGTTCAACATTTATGATCGTCCTGCAGGGGAAAATCCAAAAGAAAATAGCCTCGATGAGAACAAACCAACAGCTGCAGGATATAAAATATGGTTTCAGGATACTGGATAGTGTGTGCAAAACAGACAAGAGCTGGACCAAGGGCTGGCAGCAAGCTGTGCCCATACCCCTTGGGAACTGCTCAGCAGGTAACAGCCAGCATAACTGCTATGCTGAGCGGGACACAGGCCTGGACCTCCCTACAGCATCATACCTCTGACTAGCCAACACACCACCTCCATGATTAGTGTCACCTCAAGTGTCCTCCTCAGATAATGTGTAAGCTGGCCAGGAAAGGGTTTCTGTAAGTCCATTCTGAAGCACCCTGCCTGCGCCTGTGAAGCGCAGGCTTCAGAGGGGAGGCTTTCAAGGACAGCTGTAGGTAGCTAAGTGTCGATGTTTTTGAGGAAACTCTGAAGGTATTTCCCAGTCTCTCCATTATTTTGCACTTTGGCTTTCTTCCTAGAGGCTGAGCTCTTCCCATGAGCAGCAAAGTGGTCTCCATTTAAGAGTCCACTGAGCATGTGTCATGGTATAGGATCTGGCCACTGTCTCTGCCTGCTCCCTGAGAAGCCTGGTGGAGACTGAAGACTCCATTTCTGCAAGAATAGCTATTGCTCTACTCACCCTGCCAATCCCTCTGCTCATGCTGCTTTATACTTCACCTTCTCACTTGCTTGTTTTTGTTCTGGCTTTCACTTACCTTTTGTAATCATTAGTCCATTTCTGCAACAGCCTCTTTGCAAGGTGACGTATACTGAGCAACAGCGTACTCCTCTGGAAAAGAGGGAGAGAAATGTTCCCGTTAGCCTGGAGACCACTTCCTGTGCCTTTCCCTGGAGGTGGATATACCCTACGCACGCTTAAGCTGGAGATTCTTGAAATCTCCTTTGTTCTGGCACATGCATTTTCCTAACTTTCCAGTCATGCCCACTTGTCCCCTTGGGCATGAGACCAAGCTCACTAAAGTGAAATGAGTCTCTCCCCTGGCACTAGATCCAGATCCTGGTAGAGTTCAGAGGAGTGTTGGTTCCAGGAGAGCTGGTTCTGGGTCTCCCTTAATGCATGCAGTGTTTCTGCTGTTCATGTCCCTCCCCCAAACGTCATACTGGTTAAAATCAAAGACCTACCTGTTTCATAGTAATCATAGATCTGCACAGGAGCTGGCTTGGGATGGGTCACTACAAAGTCCTGCTCAACCGAGAAAGTGATTTCTTTCCTTTTCTTCTGTGAGATCTGGGAATGAAGGGACAGGGATCAGATGAGTCTTTTTATTTGTATAACACCATCTGGAGCAGACCAGGGGGCAAGCTGATCGATTGTATATTCCAAATCCCACTGATGCCACACATACAGATGTGGGACATCCATTATCTTCCTGCCAAACTGGGATCAGAAATATGTTTGGAGAGTCCAAAATGAAACTGAAGTGAAGAGCTGTAGGCTTCCTATCCTGCTTCTATTACCTGATTCTGTAGTTATTATGCATCCTATTGCCAGAGAGGGAAAAAACGTACCAAAGGTCTGAGCTTAATTCTCCAGGATCTCCTGATGGTCAGACGATAAAGTCTGGCATTCCAACCCCTCCCATTTCAGACATGAACATTATGTGCTGCCAAGAAACTGGGAATCAATGTCCATCACTGGGATATTGGCTTCTGTTGTAAGTTCTGCAGGGCCCCAAGCAAATGTACTTTTACTATGTAAATTCTGATCCAGGGATTAGATTACAGGTTAGATTTGGGAATGAACTAGTGTAAGAGAAGGAATGAATATCTTCCCAGAGGAGATCAGAGCAGTGTTTCATGTCCTGTTGGAAGGACTGAGGTTTATGAGAAGCCTATCAAGGGGACATACACACAAGGAAACCTCTTTTCTGGTGTTTATCTGCTACTGACAGAAAGGAAATAGAATTTCGGTTAATTTCTATGTGCTTTTTTTGATTAACTTATTTCTAGCTGCTAGTAGGGCAGGTGTCAGCTTGAAGCTGTTTGGGAGGTTGGGATGTTACATGCAGTTTGAGGAGTAAGCACCTTAGTGATTACAGGCGTAAACTGATGGGAAAGGGAACATGATAAACACACTCTATAGAGTGTATCCATGGTGTAGGTGCATCTATTACATGCTGTTTTCACCCTTTTTGCAAATCAAATAGAGAGTGATCAGAACTTACATTTTCCAGGTAAAGGAGAACATGGTTTTTCTTGCTTTCTGCTTGCATCACTCTATGGCCATCAATGAGCTTTAAAACAAGGAAACGGAGATAAGCTGATTTATTTATAAACCATTAAAAAGCAAGTGCTACCTCAGACCCTACTACGCGTGGCTGTGGGATTCATTCTGTTCCTAGCCAGGTATCAAGGGCCAGCAGCTGATTTTTAGAGCCCAAATGTTGCTGAATAGATGGAGGGGAGTGAGCAAAAACTGCCACTTGACTTAGTGGGGGGTATGAGCACTTCCCAAGTGCATGAGTGGCACTGCAGTTCATTTGGGGAATACTGTCTGCCTCCAGTGTTGTATAGGTTTTCCCTACCTGGGCAATGCCCGCTCCCAGTTGCAGCTGCCAACTGGTGAGGCTCTAGCTAGAACGCTTCGTAGTTTTTAATGTAGGAAGGTCTGTGTGCTCGTAGCTCCCTGTAGGGCATTCCCTCCACCCAGTAATGAAGACGGTAGCCGTGCAAACACCTTGCAGGGTTTGTGGGTAAATGATTCTTAACCAGGCTTCTGTTTTCATCATGACTAGTCTTCTGCTCTGTCCCTGGGGTGACTCATTTAATCTTGCTCCTATAGTTTACCTTATCCAGGGAAGACTTAACAGGAACAAAACCAGAGAGCATCTTCACATCAATAATGACCATGTTGGAGGTGCTGCGCTTCCCTGTGTAACTGAAACAACAGAGGCCCCCATCAGTCTGGACTGTGCCTGGGGAAGCAAACCTCAGCTGCCTGCTCCTGGCGTCATACAGGGCAGGGAGGCTGGAGTGAATCACGTGCGCTTGCTGACTGGCTCAGACGGGAGACACTGGGGAGGCCCCTGGTCTGAAGGGGCCAAGTATGTGCTAACACCATCAGTTTCTGGGTGTATCACAAGGTCTTTTGGGATATTGTGTCTTACGGGCCAGTATCATCAACACATTGATTAGCTCATGGTTCTTGACTTTGTAAGCAGAACTGAATACACACAGCACTCTTCTCTGCGTGTCTTGTCATCTGTGCAGCTGGTTTGTTGATGGCACATTACCTGCTTATGAGGACAATATCAAATTTTGCTGGTCGATCCAGTGGGCAGGAAACATTTGATGTCTGTACTGAGAGTGAAAATCCAAAGGCCCCCTCTGGAAGGTGAATGTTGTATCTCAGTGCTGTCTGGAAGAGGAGAAAACCCTTTTGTTCAAGCATGCCAAGGTTTTTTCTTTGCATTCCAAAACACAAGTGTCAGACTTAGTGATGTTTCCTGGCAATGTTTCTCTTGGTTTTATGTGGAAGATCCCTGCTTACATCAATGACGGACACATCAGACTTCTGCTCTTTGACAATGAAGGTGCTTGCACCCAGAGTCACCTCCCAGAGAGAAACCAGTTGCTGATCAGAAAGGACTCTTTTTTTCCATGCTGTGACTCCACAGGAGTCAGAATGTGGGATGGGGAAAAGTGTTGAAATAATTTAGGGAAATCAAACGAGGAAAAATAAAGAGAAGTCAGATGGAGAATCACCAAAAACATGACTGTATTGTATGCAGAATGTGAGACACAATGAAGAGGAGAGCAGACACTTACTTGCATAAGTACACATCCACTGCTATTCACTGTTAGGCTGTATTTCCCAGGAGCCTCAGGAAGGGGAGTCTGTTGAAGCAGGAGCCTGTTCTCATTGTTGACAATAAATACCTTCTCAAAAGGCTTTTTGGAAGTGATCTTGACTACATTTTGTGTAACAGAATTGTAGGTGGCCTCACCATAAGCAGCGAGGGCTTGAAGAGCAATGACTGTGTCCTGAAGGAAAAGAAAATAATAAAAGACAATTAGCTACACAGTGTGACCGTGCAGAGGACGTCAAAGTCATGGTTCCAATACGAAGCACAGTGGCTTCATCCTGGCTAAAGAAACCCTGAATTTGTGTATAATTCCAGGGTTCCCATATATAAAGAGCCATTTCATTCTGGCATGTATGTTTTATGTATGTATCTCTACTCATATGAAAGTCTCAGAACAAAAAATCTGAACGCTAGAGCACACTTCTAGAGTTTTTCATAGTAGTGAAGCATGTGTTTTCCAGGGAACTACAGAGCACTTCTTGGTCATATAACAGCTGGGACCTGGTGTTTTCTAGGCTCATACCTGACACAAATACCTGTATTTGTTGCTAGTCAAATTGCTTTTGTATGACTTTAACCTTTCCATAGTTAAGAAGAGGGGAAAAAAAAGGTATTTTGGTCTTTCTAAGAGAAAGGCTTGGTCTCTGTGTGTTTGAGACAGCAAATACAAGAGAGAAATAAGACTAGGTAGTCAAAGCCCCACTGGCACCCTGAACCAGTGCCCCAATTCCTAGGACTGGCTGGGGGGTGGAAGGGAGTTTTGGCACCTGGGTGGAAGAGAAACCTCCATAAGGATTCTGCTGCCTGATGATCCACTGCACAATCCCTGAGGCCTTTGTGAGATCCCCTTGATTCCGGTTGGGTTTGTAGAGCAATGCCATCAGCACGTAACTGGTGATCTCAACTTCAGCTGATGGGGCATGGTCAAGGAAGGAGGGAGATTTTTCTGATGGAGACCTCTCCTTATGCTCCCAGTGCTGTGAGCCATCTAAATAAACAAAGAGAGGGTGACGAGCAACCAGAATGGATTATGGGTGTCACTGCTCAATGCTCTATGCTCTATGTCACTCCTCAGAGACATACTGTGTCCTGGCCTCTTTCTCACAAGTATTCTCTACAGAGCAACAGATGTGCTGTGAATTAACGCCACAGATTATTTGTGGAGGTTGGTTCGTGTGCCTATATTCTCAGTATTGTCAAGGTTAGACCATGTACCATCAGTAAGATCTGTTCCCACTTCCCAAATTCCCAAAATGGCTGAAACTCACCAACTTCCTTTGCTGATTTCTGTAACACTCTAAGGAATGATTCACATTTTTCTGCCTTGCCAGCTAAGCAGAAAGCGTAGGCCATGAGTGCCTGAGTGTAAACATCAGTGATATTCTTCTCAGATGCAGTCTCCAGACAAAAAAAGGCGTTTCGGACTACAGAGTACTTAAAAATAAAAAACAAAAAACAAAACATGGGTCTAATTCAGGACAGTAGTCTTCACCTGGCCAAACATTTATTTTCTTTAAACCTGTTCTTCATCCTGTCACTATCACAGCAATGAGAATGGGACTTTGGTTTGTATAGTGACTTTAGGAGAGACAATACAGAATTCTTTAAGGAGGGATTTCAGAGGAAACATCAGACAAATCAAGTAGGTTTTCGGTGTGTTCTTGAAGATGTCGGTGTATAAACAGAAGACTGTTCTGTTTCTTTCACAGCTAATTCCTTCTGCTTACCTCCATGATAATAATTCACCCTGCACTTCTATAGTCAAGAGTCTGTTGTCTTGAACAAATCCAACCTAGTAGTCTCTATCCTCAGTGACTCCGGTGTGATTTTAATTTAATTCAGTGGAGTTGTACTAGGTTTACACCAAGTAAAAAATGTTCACATTTTGACACTTTGTCCTTGCTAATGCATTAATCAGGAAGGTCCTCAGAAAGGATATGACAAATTGGAGGCAGAGAAACTCATATATTGAAGTCTAACATCTCCGGTGTAGTCTCCTTTGTACTAGCCACTTTTTAAAAAGGACAGATCGGCTTTTCACTCTGATGGGCTATGTTTTTCCAACATAGCTTTTAGTTCCATTTGTAGACTTTATGAGTTTACCTGCAATAACTTACTTTCTTGACTAAGCCACGTTTGAGGCTAAGCCATAGTGTGGGTTACTACCTGTCAAGTTTTTTTATTGGAAACTAAAAGGTGTCACTAAATATCTTGGGTCTCTCAAATAGAAGATCTAATCCCACTGAGGTCTGTACAACTTCTACTTGAACACTAGTGGTTTAAGAAATAGAGAGAAGAGAAGGCTCTGGGGAGACCTTATTGCAACCCTTCAGTACTTAAAGGGGGCCTCTAAGAAAGATGCGGACAAGCTTTTTAACAGGGCCTGTTGCGATAAGACAAGGGGCAATGGTTTTAAACTAAAAGAGTTAGACTAGATATAAGGAAGAAATTTTTTACAATGAGGGTGGTGAAACACTGGAAGAGGTTGCCCAGAGAGGTGGTAGGTGCCCCATCCCTGGAAACATTCAAGGTCAGGTTGGACGGGGCTCTGAGCAACCTGATCTAGCTGAAGATGCGCCTGCTCACTGCAGGGGGGTTGGACTAGATGACCTTTAAAGGTCCTTTCCAACACAAACTATTCTATGATTCTATGGGGAACTTCTCTGTCACAGCAACTAGTGCAGATACAGAGCAGGGTCATGTTCCCTGGGTGCTCTCTCTCCCTCTCTTTCTCTCTCCTTACTACCTAGACAATTTGTAGCAGATGCTGGAGCCAAGTCAACAACTGGGGACCAATTCCGGCTGAATACTAGCAGTGGAAAGTCTCCTTACCGAGCTAGAGTGCCCAGCTTCTAGCATGGCAATGGTGATGTAGGCAGAAAGCGACAGCTCGTCATCTACTCCTCCCTGAAAAGGACAGGGAGAGAGGAATTTTTGGTGAATGGCACGAGTGAGAAACCTTTAAATATGAATTGCCATATCCCAGCTGGGAGACTGTGGCCAGCTCTAGAGGCAGTCCATAAGGAAGAAGAGCATACGCATAGCAGGGATGGCTCTTAAATCAAGAGAAGCCTGCTGCTATCACCTCAAAAAGCATCACTCCCTCAAGCTTACAGTCCTGTAACCCCATCTCAGGTGCTCATAAGATGTAAAATACAGTGTGGGGAAGCTGACTGAGCTGAAAATAGTTATTGTAAGGCGTGGAGAGTTAGCCCTTGGCGGAGGACAGGCATTTGGAGTAAAGTATAGTTTTTGACAGTAATGGGGTAGCATGTTCTTAATGATAAGAGTGTAAATTTGACCAAGAAGTAATTCTCCGCTCAACCTTCAAGGCATTGTTGAAGAGTGTCCCAACACTTCGGAAGCAGCCATCTGGCTTCTGTCTGCTTGCCAGCCACATCAGGGTTTGAGCCTGGACATTATCATCAATGTAGATGAAGTGACTAGCTTGTGCAAATGATTTGTACACAAAAGCAGTGAGCCTGCAAGGGAAAGATGGAGCTGTGAGATGAGCATTGGAAGAAGGAACAGAAAAAGTCAGCCCTTCCATTCATGCTAGGCATAAGGATGAAGAGTTACAGCCAACATGTTGGTGGCTTGCTTTGTCTTCTTGTGCTCCTCCAGGAGAGGGTAGTTAAAGGAATAGTAGCTAGATGGGACACAGGAAGGGAGTCCAGCACACTCTGGGGCTGATCCAGGCTACAGAGCACTTGCAGTGCATTGGGTTTCATGGGAGACAGCAGGAGTGCGAATCAAAAAGTTGGCTGGGCCTTTAGGCATCACCTTGTCTCTGTGCGCTCCACCTGGCAGGGAGTGGAGAACCATTTTTCTTAGTACTTACAGAGTCCCAGTCCTAGCCAGCTCTGTGCATCTGATTTGGCTAGTAAAGATGCCTTTTACATGCATCATGTGAATTCAATGCAAATTAATCTCTGAGCCATTTCTGCTCCCAGTCACTCACCAGGTGTTGCCTTCTTTATCTCTGGTGCCAAAGATGCTGTACGACCCATCGGGATGTTTGTATGACAGCTGCTTCTGGTAGCCTGCACAAACATGGAAGAGGAAGTGTTCCCTAATTTAAAAAACAAACCCTATTCTGTTTGCTATCATATCTATCTGAAGCTACAGTGGGAAAGCATGGAAAGGCAATATATACCTGCCAAGCAGAGGGGGAGCCCTGAGGGTGCTTAGATGGAAGCATGGAACATCTTGTCCTGCAGAAACACTGGGGCACAGAATAGGCAGAGCTGTATCAGCTCTGTGCTCCAACTAAGCTAACAGGATTAGGATACATGCTTGTGCCTGGGTGGAAGAGGAGAAAGGGACTGAAAGACAGAACCTCAAAGGAAACATGGCAGTTGAGTCTCAGCAAAATAGGATAAGGAAAGAAAAAGATAAAGCAAAGATAGCAAATGTCTTGATTGGGGCAGTCCCTTGGGTCACTGAGCAGTGCCGTACTGCTAGGATAGCCATGCTGCTGCTTCTGCTCACTAGGCCTCAATGGGAATTTCAGCGTACATCGTAAGGGAAGCAAAAAACTCTCACCGCTCACTAAGTATCCGATAGCCTTGGATTTGACCTCCTCACTCAGCTGCCCTGTCTTGTTCAGATAGTTCAGGACGTAGATGTTGGGTGCAAACAGGACCATGTTCTGCTCCCCACAGCCGAACGGCATCTGGAGGAGCTGGTGCACATTCTGCATGGCAGTGCCCATGATGTCTCCTGGGGAAGAGGAGATGCTGGTGGGATTAGCACAACTCATGGCCACCGAAATAAACAGTAATTTCCGTTCAGTAGGCAGAGTCAGGGAAAGCCTATCTGGCGCTGCAAGCCTGTCTGGTACCACAGAGATTTCCAACAAGCATGAAGCTCTCAGTGCTGACTGAGTGATTTGTTCTGTTCTGCTTTGCAGTCAACAAAGAAATCCCTTCCCTGCCTCTCTTTACTTAGTTTACATTGCCTACACCAGAAACGCTACCCATTTGAGTGCCAATTCAAGCAGATACTTCTTATTAGAAATGAAAAGAAGAACTTCTAGGAAACTTCTGTTTCCAGAGGAGGGAAGGGGAAGAGCCCGGAGATGCTGCAGTGAACCATGTATTGCAGAATTAACAACTAATGCTGAAGAGTGACACTGGTTATGCAGATGTATCACAGGCCACTTCTAAATTGCTATTTTGGAAAGATAGCGCAGACCCAGCAAGGGATTTCTGGAATGAGCTGAAATCACCAACATTACAAAGCAAAGATTTTATGACTAGTAGTCATGTAACCAAGTCCAAGTCCTTTCCAGGAAAAGACTGAAAAGATTCCACTAGCATCTCTGATTTGCGAGTGGATGAGTGCAAAAAAGTCTTACTGGCATGAGTCTGGCTGAGGTCATAACTCAGGACTGTGCTACTTCAGAGCAAAACATTCAAATGCAATAAATTTAAACAGAAAAGTGAAGAAGGATGTAACCAATACTTAGAACTTTCATTTCTCTGATGCAGCAAAGAGCATTGCTAGACATGATGAGAATCAGTTCTTTGCTTAAAAGTTTCCTGCACAAAGACTGGAAACTCACATCCTGAATCCTGACAAAGCTTTCATTTTATATTTTTACATTTTCTTTCTTTTTACATTTTATTAATTTTATATTTACCAACAACAGAAAAGGAAGCTTGGGCTGATCCTTCAACCACATTTGTAGGTAGATCTAGAGCAACGTCTTGAATAACCACATCATCTGTGGAGAAAAATGTTAAGTGTGTTGCAGTCATTTGTATAGGAACAGTGGTTACAGCAGTGAAATGCTCCTGGTAGAAATTGCACAGTGCAAAATTGCACAGAAAAGACAGCAATAGACAGAAACTCACAGCTGTCTCCAAGAATATCAAGAGAGACGGGGGCACAGCAAACCCAAAATTGTGAAAAACAGACCAAATGGTGCAGTAACTGTCATTCCTCAACTGAAGTCAGTTGAACATGGTAAGGCTGGTGCTCCCAGGCTGTAGTGTCTGTCAACCCTGGGGATTTCTTCAGTGAGACACTAGGAAGAGCTGCTTGGTGAGGGTCAGGACTGCTTTTGTGCCTCTTTTAGGCAGAGGTTCCAGGAAACTTTGAAAACCGTTTGCAGTCAGCACTGAGATGGTGTGGAAGGGAACATTACATTTCCCCTCCCATTCCCACTAGAAGTGGAAAGCTGCAAGATACAGTTATCCTTGGAATGGAGGACAGCAGTCAAATATGAATGCATGAAACGCAGGATAGATTTTGCACAAAAAGGCCAGCTCCCTTTGATAGTTCCATAGCAGCCTTCCTTCAGCATCTGAGCACTTTTGACTGCAGCACACACACTGCCTAAATGATGTGCACCAGATCACACAGGAAGTTCGTAGCAGAGAACTGAACTGTAAGCACTCACGCTGGCTGCCATTTGGGCACCTCTGGGGAAAAGGGGAGGGAGAGCATCATTTAAGAGTGCAAACTCCAACCTTCCTCGCAGTTCCTCTCAGGACAGCAGTATATAAGACCCTTACCTTTTGTACAGATTAGGGAGTTTTGGGTCTTTTCCCTTCTGATGCCTTCAGGCTGCATGGCGATGGGAAGAAGAGACACATGCAGTTGATGAGAACAAAACATGGAGACACATGCAGTTGATGAGAACAAAACATGCAGAAGAAATGAAGTGACAGAAGAGCCACCCCCCACCCCATCCTCCTGCATCATAAGACAGCTGGATTGAAGCAACAGTTTACAGAGCGATGTGGCTGCTGCTAAAAAGGGAGTTTCCATCAGATGGAGTCCCTCATTTCCAGTTTCTCCTTGGCATGAGGGAGACGTGCACTTACCAACACCCACTGATCCTCATGGAAGAGGACAACAGATGGGAGTGGACTTGGTCTTAGATTGAACAGCCAGACCCTGTCCCAGCCAGATGAAGGTGGAGCCAAACCAGGAATTCTTTAGGGAACCTGAAAAACTTTTACTTGCTTTTGGTACTTTTGCTGTGTTTTTCTCTCCTCATGGAAGGGAGTACAGGGCAAACAGTAAGAGCTGTCAGCAGTACCTCAACCAACAGTGTTCTGATCTGGGTGTCCCTGTAGTCAATACTGATGTTCCTAGGTGCTTTGTCTCCACAAGCTCCATCATCCTTGGTCTCTGCAGTAATGCTGAATACTACATTACCTTAAATAGTAGCAGAAAAGTAGGAAAAAAATGGACCTCTATCATGCAGAATGATGGCTAAAGTAAGAAAATTTCATCTGATAGTTAATAGCTACAGATATTAAGTAGAGAACATAATGAATGGTCAGTCACTCTAGGTGAGACATATGGGAAGAGAACTGATCTCTGAAAATGGGAATGATAAACACACTGCAATTATGGAGGAGCTCTTTAGCCCAGACAGCTGGAAGGACCAGTGGTAGACCAAGTTCTCCAGGTTGGAAGAAGATTAGGTTTTTCAGGTGAGGTATAAATTCATTAGTATCAATCTCAGGACAGAAAACCAGGTAGATTCAAAGGCACTTACCAATTTCTTTGGGGAAAATATTCCAGACATAGGTCTTTCTTTGTTTGGCACATACACATCCATCATCCTCTGGGGAGATGAGTTTGGCCTGATAATCAAGGGAATCTGACAGCGAAACATTAATCTGAGAACAGAAAGAGGAGTATGATGGGATGAAGATTTTGTAACATAGGCAAATGGTGCTTTATTGTTAGAGGGGGTGAGATTGTCTCTGTTTATGTCCAGTGTTAACAGTGCAGATTTAAGGCCTGGGATGATGGTATTAGATGAATCATCCATCAGATGTAACCTTAACAGTATTCCCTTTTGGCTTCTCATGACACTCTCCATTGAGATGTTAAATATCCCATGCATACATCTGATTTCTGATCGGGATATTGAGTTATGTTCAGTCGACCTAGTGCTAAAGGCTTTGAACTAACTTGCAAAGGAAACCACTGATTAGTGATTGTTCTTCTGTTGTTGTAGGAATACTTGAAATACAAGGTTAAGAGATGAAAGCCTCAATAATGGAGATCTTTTTTTCTAAGATGTCTAAAACCCTTGGCCTTTTTGTTTTGTTAGGTCAAACTGTCAACAGAGTTTGGAAAAAAACATTCCTAAATTGGGTCTTGATTTTTCCTCTTTTGGTGGTGATCTCCTTGTGAGACTGGAGAGCTGATTTTCTGCAATCAAGCAGAATAAATCTAGACTCTACACCTGCCTCTTTTTTCAGGATTCCTAAATACAACATAAGAAACAAGAAGCCAAACAGAAGATCCCTGTTTTTCTTTCTTCAAGTATTCTTTAAACAATGTGTAAGCTCCCTCCATGCAGAGGTGCAGTGTGATCTGGAGGCATTTTGCCTGGAAAGTACTGAATATTGACAGTACAGTTCTCCAGTGTCTGGGAGCAATAGAGCCTCTAGCTGAACAGATACTCTGTAGGGCAAGTACTGGACTTTTGTGCTCCCTGTTTTGGTACTTTTGGGAACTTTCGCCCCAGAGAAGAAGGGTTTATCTGCTCTCCACTTCTTGCTTTTCCCACTTTCTTCTGTTTGGCAAGCACAAGCCCTTCACTTCTTCACACTTTCACATATATCCCTAAAGAAAAGACCCCACTAAAAGCATCGATGGCTTGCATCGTGAACGGTACTCTGCAAAGCACTTGTTTCCTTCCTCTGTGGATCTCTAGAGACAGTTGCTTATAGAATCATAGAATCATAGAATAATTAAGGTTGGAAAAGACCTCTAAGATCATCAAGTCCAACCGTCAACCCAACACCACCATGCCCACTAAACCATGTCCCTAAGCGCCTCATCTACACGTCTTTTAAATACTTCCAGGGTTGGTGACTCTACCACTTCCCTGGGCAGCCTGTTCCAAGGCCTGACCACTCTTTCAGTAAAGAAGTTTTTCCTAATGTCCAGTCTAAACCTCCCTTGGTGCAACTTGAGGCCATTTCCTCTCGTCCTATCACTAGTTACTTGGCAGAAGAGACCAACCCCCACCTCGCTACAACCTCCTTTCAGGTAGTTGTAGAGCACGATGAGGTCTCCCCTCAGCCTCCTCTTCTCCAGGCTAAACAGCCCCAGTTCCCTCAGCCGCTCCTCATAAGACTTGTTCTCTAGACCCTTCACCAGCTTCGTTGCCCTTCTCTGGACACGCTCCAGCACCTCAATGTCCTTCTTGTAGTGAGGGGCCCAAAATTGAACACAGTATTCGAGGTGCGGCCTCACCAGGGCCGAGTACAGGGGCACAATCCCCTCCCTACTCCTGCTGGCCACACTATTTCTGATATACACCCATCCTAGTCACAGTTTTCACAGATCTCCCTCTGCTTTGTAGTGGCTTAGGAGGACAAATCTAGTCAGGATAATCTATCATCAGATAGAATGAGCAGTACATCAATCCAGATCAGGGACAGATCCAGTCATCTACACCAAGTATTTTGTTGCTTTTTTCTTCAGACTACAAAGGTTGCAGCTTCTTTGGACATGGGGTAAGTATGGGCAGAAGTACACACCTTAATGCAGTGGTCAAGGTAGTTGAAGACATTGGCTCTAAGCAGGAAATCTTCTCCTTGGATGATAGAGTATGGCAAGGTCAAGTCTACAAAGAAAGGCTGAAAGGCTGTCAGGGTGGCAGGCACAGACATACCAAATCCAACCAACTCTTCCACACAGAAGGCACTGGCCTTCCATTCGGTGATGGTGTCAGGGATGGTGTATGAGATGCTGGCTTTTCCAGTAGAGCTGATGGGAATGGATAAAGAGTGGGCTTAGAAAGGGTAAGCTTCTCAGTAGAGGCAACGGGTTTTGAAAATCAGCACTACCAGTATTCTGTTTGCAGAAAACCCACATTCAAGTCCCCCCAGAACTTATTACCCAAATCTTCTGAGAAAAGCCCATTTGAAAGTTCTTCTGCCCATCATTTCCCTGAGTTTGGAAAGAAAACTCAGAATTCTTATTTTGCAGACCCATATTTTAAAAAGAGGTGTCCCTTTTCTTAGGAGGGAATATGACTCATGGTACACACATTGTGGGAATAGATGTCTTTGGGGACAGGGTAATTTTATCATGGAAAAGAGGAGGGCAGGTGGTCAGGTGATGATTGAAAAAACTAGATCTTCCAGGCCAAAGGGTAAGAAGAGATGGCAAGGAATTGCCATCTTGCAGGACATCAGGGGACATACTTAGTAACTCTTAAAAGCAAGGCAAAGAGAGGGAAGAAGCAGTACTCACTTAATTAAGACTATATCCCAAATCCAAGTTTCAGGGAAGAATTCCCGAACAGTCTCAAGGATGAGTCTCTTCCCACGTTGCTCTCTAGCAACTTCAGCTGGTAAGAGATAATGGGAATTTAGTCAAACCTGGTTCATGTAATGAAGACTCCCAGAAAGGACAGGTTTTAATATGCGTGTGCCAGTATGAAGGATGATTAGTGTTTACCCATTTCTTTCTAACTGAGACTGTCGGTAATGCCACACAAATATTAATTAATGTCACTAATGTATCTCTGAGTTAGGTATAACCTGGTATCACAGCGAAAGAAAACATTACTTGAAGTGCTTTAGTCTCCAGATATGAGCGCGAGACCTAGGGCTAGAACTCAGGTCACTTGGCTCTTAGATCTGTTTGCTGTCCACACTGTTGCACTGTCTTTTCAAACAAGCTCTGGTCAGAAGGGAATCAGTGTCAACAGTGTTAGTTTTGTGTGACACTCTACTGATTGCGAACACTTCCCAGCATGAAACTGGACGTAACTCAGAAGTGTAGACCTAAAATGACCTTAAGCATTGGCCATTATCTTAAGCCATCTCATTCTGTGCCAGATCAATATTCAATGTCAATACCAATGTGATTCATGAGTACTGTCCATGTCCATGTATGGTGGTGTAACCCCAGCTGGAGACTGAGCACCACACAGCAGCTCGCTCACTCCCC